GCTATAAAATTACTTTTCTTCTGATTTTTTATGCTTCTTAAGCCATAGTTGCTATGCCATGTTTTCATTCGATTTAGTCACACACTGCAGGAACATGGAGTTGAGGCAAATGAAGAGCTACCAATGCAAGCAAGCATGGGTTTCTATGCAATATTGACGCGTCCATTTAGAGACAATTGTTTCTGTGCTTGCATACATAAATTTCTATGCATAGCAATTATAATTCATAGCAGGTTTCTAAAAAACTAGATAAATAATGATTCTCGTAGTTTGTTTTTATGTACTTTGATTTTTTTAATTCTATGCTTCTTGAGCCAACCGTGTAAGCAAGAAATCATCTAGAATTCTATACACTGTTAGAGCACATTTTATACATTGTTGGAACGCAATTTTATACATTGTTGGAGCACATTTATATTTAGTGTTGGAACACATTTCTATACATTGTATTAACAGTTATCCATGCATTCTTGGAAGACTTATATACATCATTGGATGACATGTCTATAATTTGTTGTTACAAATTTCTATACAATTATCAATAACGGTTCTTGCAGTTTGTTTTCATGTACTTTGATTGTATGATCTGTTGGTCACATCCAGCAATCTATAATTTTTTTCTAGATTTTTTGTCATGATTTTTGCATTAATGTAGATGACATTAATTTTACCAATAGGTTTCTGTGCCTACTAAAAAATGTTTCTATGCCTTTCTTACCCCTGTAAGGTTTATGTGCCTGTTAAAACATTTTTGTATGCCTTTCTTATGCCATTGTAAGGTTTCTGCGCATGCTAAAATATTTTTCTATTCCTGTCTTGCTGTTGTATGGTTTTTGGGCCTACTAAAACATGTTTTTATTCCTTTTGTTGTGGTGTAGGATGGCTAGAATAAATTCCTCTCCATTTGGTGTGAGGGCGACGGTGGCTCAGACAAAGGACATGGCTTGCGACGTTCACGACTTCCTTGCCTTGCGGCGATGGCATAGTGTGATCTTGATGTAGTTGATGGGTTATTGTAAAAAGTTGATGTATTTGATGTTGCAACAAATTTCTATACATTGTTGGAGCAGTTATCCATGCACTTCTACATAATTTTATATATTATTGGAGCACTCTTCTGTGCTTTGTTAGAACACTTTGACATACATTGGTGGAACAATTATTTGTACGCTTATACACAATTCTATACATTGTTGGTATGCAATTCTATATATTGTTGGGACACAATTCTATACATTGTTGGAGTAAGTGCCTGTACATTTCTACACAATTGTGTACACTGCTTGAACACAACTCTATACATTGTTGGAGCACATTTTTATTTAATGTTGGAACACATTTTTATACATTATAGGAACAATTATCCATGCATTGTTGGAAGACTTCTATACATTGTTAGATGACATTTCTATCCATGTAGCTGACATTAATTTCAAAATTATTTTTCTACTCCTGCTAAAATAGTGGGAAGGGGGTGACAAAATTAATTTTTATGCTAAAACAGTGGGAATGAGGTTTTTATGCGGTAACAAAATTAATTTATATTCATCAAACTACTAATTTCTATGCAATGTCGGTGCCAAAAATATTTCTGCGTATCTTGACCATTTATTATATGAATGTGATTGTGCATCACGTGCTATTTTTCAAATTTCAAATTTTAGAGAAGACGAGATCGTCTCCATGTTTTTACGCTTATGGTCTCTATGTTCTATGCATTGTTCCCATGTTTATACATCCCCATATTAGGAAACATGATGCTGAGGGAAGCAATCACAGTTATGTCAGGTGGAATGTCCATCTCGTGGAGAGGTTTTTATACTGTAACAAAATTAATTTTTATTCATTTGACCACTAATTTCTATGCAACGTGGGTGCCAAAAACTTTTCTGCGCATCTTCACCGGTGATTCTATGCATCCAATCGGCCATCACGTGCCACGATTAAAATTTCAAATCTTGGAAAAAGACGAGATCATCTACAAGTTTCTATGCTCTCTCACAAGTTTCTACGCATAGACGAAAGCATGATGTTGGTGGAGGCAATCATGGTTGTGCCAGGTGGAATGTTCATATCGCAGAGAGGTTTTTACGCGGTAACAAAATTATTCTTTATTCATCAAACCACTAATTTCTATGCAACGTCAGCGTCGAAAACTTTTCTACACATCTAGACCATTGATTCTATGGATCCAATCGGCCATCACGTGCCATGATTCAAATTTCAAATTTATGAATTTTAATTTTTTTCAAAAAAATATTCGTAGTGGATCTTGAATCATGCACAAAAATGTTAGGAGTTCAATGGTGAAAACTGTTTTTGAATCGGATGCTTTGTTGAGGAATTATAATGAAAAAACAAAAGAGATTAGATTGGATGCGTGCATGCATGCATGCGTCAGCTCTGTTAGGTTGTGTCAGTTGGAGCGTCCAGCTCGCGAGGAGGTTTTTATGCAGTAACAAATTAATTTTCATTCTATGCAACATCGCGACAAAAACGTTTCTGTGCAACTTGAACTGAGTTTTTATGCATCCAGTCTGATGGGTTTGCAGTGGTCCCCTACTTGTGCGCGCGTCAGCCCCGTGGACCTGAATGGTTGAGCTAGCTAGGGGGCTGGTTGGGGCTCTCCATTAGCTATTTGGAGCCCCAGGCTCCCACTATCACAGCCTTATACATATATATAATATATAATATATATAAAAATGAATTATTTTTACATTAATCAATTAAGTACAATTTAAAGCCTGAATAATATAACTGGTAAAGCACGCTATAGTTCAGGTATCCATTTCAGTATCATAACCTTTCCAATACTTGACAGCAGGAATCCTCCAATGGCACACGCTATTTTATTACCATTTATATAATTATACATATTGAACAGTTGGCATGCAACGTATATTTTTCTCGAATACACAAAAGGTTTGTGCATCTTTATATTAAGATTGAGAAATAGTGAATGTTACAACGACGCACTCTCCTTGTGAGCTAGGGGTTAGTGTTATACAATAGGATCTACCCTCCCTAGCGTACCTCATCATGGCTATTACTGCTAATCATGCTAGTTGAGCTTGTCAACGAAGATACTATCGCACAGGCATTCTTGGCTGCCGTGTTCGCATTACCTCAAAGATGGGAGGAGTTGAGCTCGTCAACGAAGATACTATCGTAGGCATTCTTGGCTGCCGTGTTCGTCTGTTCATCGAGCGTCCCCATCCGCTTCATCACCAGCACCTCTTCCCGCTTAGAAACCGGGACGCGTGAAAGCACCTGGGCGGCGATCCTCTTCTGCTGTGGGTCGGCAACTTAGTTTGTGCCTCCATGGCCGGCTGAGGAGGAGCAGCGGTGAAGGCACCTTACGCGGGATCTTGACAGTGAACCGCTTCAGCTTCTTGGTGGCGGAGCTCCCGCTTTCAGCTGGCCAGGGAGTGGTGGTCGCGTCGGCGTCCACGCCTAGGACAGTGGCGCTAGTAATAAATAAATTAAAATAAAGTAGTGGTGAATCTTAAGACACACCAAAAACGAATTGAAAGCACTGTGCAAGATGCAAACGGACAATATGGAAATATTCTTTCCGGAAATGTAGATAGGATTCCAAGCAAGGAGACCTATCAACACATGATTGATGGGCTCCGAGCAGCATCCGTACAATATCCACATGATGATATTGCAACCTGATTGCTACGATATGTGCAGAGTTTATTCCATCAGTTGTCTACTCTCAATGCGCTTATATCATCCTGATGCCGAATCTTTCTGCTGATTCAGAAACCAAATAGTCCTTGGTTTTGTCACAATCCTACTGTTCCCAGATGCTAAATTAGGTGAACATATCCTGGATTTTGTCCTTGGAACACTGTTTGTCTGCATTTTCCATTGCAAATGCGCAACGATGACCTAAGGGCTGCCAATCACTTCTCTATGTTACATACTAATAGTAATTGATAGCAAAAGCCATTAACCTGACCATTCCATTGAGAAAAGAGCAAAGGTTTCCACTAAACTAACCTTTTTTTTCCAGCACGGCACAGAGCAGACACTCAGCTTTCATCTAGTGCTCAGGTCATTGTCGTTGTCCCAGAAATCACTATGAAATGCAGCAGCAACAACTTTTCTCTGCATGTGTAAGTGTAATGTGTAACAACAGGGCAACTGAATAGTGTCACCCATTCATCACTACAAATGACAGCAAAAGGCATTAAACCAAATGTTCCCATCAAATGATTCTGAAATGGGGAGGAAAAAGTGCAAGTGTAAGATGACATTCGTTATCAGTTACACTTCACAATTTTTGGCTTATTCCATAAGCCACACATGAAAGGACGACTTAAAGAACATGATGTGTTCCTGTTTTCACCCATCAACTTTCTGAGCCTTTGGGTGCAAATGAAGCTCCCATGTTGGGCTGAACTTTCATGGGCTGTTGATGTACTGCAAAATATGGAATCTTCAAATCCACAAATTTCAGAACACTCCACTCCCTTGAGATTAATCAACAAAAAACAGGGGGTTTAGGAACTAACTCATGAAATTACATAGATGACAACTTTGACACCATAAAGTTCAAATAGTTAAAATCTTCCACAGGAGAAGTAACAAAAACTGAGAATAATACAGGACTAGCATCATAGTGATCATCCATTTTGGTCAATGTTACAACCACATAACACCCACAGATATACACCATCCTCCAGATGGCAATCTAGAAGCTTAAAGAGCTAACAGTTTTATAATACCCTATTATGTTCTTCAGTAAGGAAAGCTGCACAAATTTTGAAGCAAATGAGTATCTGATCTAGCTTTACTAGTTCAAAACTGTGGATGCTCCAAAATGTGTTCAGTTTTTTTTCAGCTGGTGCATATAAGCACCCATAAAATGCTTCTACAATAGAGATGCCCTAGCGGCCTACCCTTGAAACAAATGCGACGATGAAAACATTGCAGAAGTCTTGATTCCCTACAACTAGTGCCCCCTAACAAGGTTAACACAGTATTGTCCTCTAGAAAGTCAGTTGTTTGAGACTAGATTCAGATAAGGGGCTGCCATCTTGGAGGAAGAGACCCCCACTGTGAGGAAGCAAGATTTGCTGTTTCTTGTCTTTTGTGACAATGTTTTGATCTGGTGAAGCTTCTTTCAGTTTCTTCACAAACTCAAAAAATTTTGCAACTTGCAGAGCATACCTATATTAGCAGGAAAGACTATATTAGCACACTTTCTCCAAAATATTTGATATATGGAAATACGAAGAAAACAAACTGGGAAAATAACCCTGTCAGAAAATAAGCATTCAAAGTTAAAATGTAATTTACCTGTAGCTTATTATTAGACATCAAAGTTAAGAGTTCTCCAATGGGCCAACAACCCACAGCATGGTAATCTATTGTATGCAAAACAGTAATATTCAAAATTTCTAAAAAAAAACATTCATAGTTTTTAAGACCAGGCACAACTCAGATAACAAGATAACAGTACAACTGTAAAGCAAACAGAAAACAGAGTTTATGATTGGAATTGGATAACTGTCAAACTTACTTTCTTTTAGCTTCAACATCCCTGCTAAAATCAATATTTGGTTCGCAATCCAGTACAAGAGCAGGAACCTAAGTTGCTTAAATAAGTCAGTTTCCAAGTCTGAATAACAACTTGTTAAAACAAAGGAAACACATGATGCTTACTTTCTGGATACTAGAATGCATATGACTCCCTTTTAGATAAAATACTCTATCTTTAATGTCAGGGTGCAAGGAGTTGTCTATGCTACATGGCAACTGGCTTGCTGACAATAGTCTGTGATTCCCATGTTCAGAAGGCAGTAACCAGCATTCATGTTTCTCATGTAAATCACGTAGATACTGCAATGTGACACTTCCTTCTTCAGCTCTACTTCGAAGCATCATTCTCTTGTGACAAGTATCAGGGGTAGCTCTAAGATAGATAAATCCATCAGGGATGAGGCCAGGAAGAGATGACAACACAGGGTCAAACCAAGAATCATAAATGCTGAGTTCCATTCCATTCAACCAATTAGCTTCATGAACAGCACGAACAAACACCTGCAGAAGGGGGCACACAAATAAAGTTACTCCATTTGCACATGAGAAAACATGAAACAAGTACAAAATTCAAAAACAGTCAAAGAGCCAAGGTTTATGACACTACTAAGTGCTAACTCTCGAGGACGACTGGATTTTGCATCTCCATTTTGCTTGAAATTATTGGTTATATGGATAACAAAAGTACACATCACTATTGACCTCAGTGCATAATGTGTAAGACTGTTGGTTACAAGTCTACAGCATAGCAAGGGATCAAGGAGAAGAAAGATGCATACCATTCGATCACTGAAGATGCTCCGTTCCACCAATCTAAGCGGCTTTATTCCTCCACAGGACTCCTTTTCTTGCATGATCCTTGTTACAAACACATAATTTTGGAAGGTATAGGCATATCTCTGTGGCTCCGCGTAAAATGCACCTAAAATGTTGAAATGATCAGGACCAACATCCTGCCATTTTGACACTGGCTCAGGTACAATTTCAACAAGATCACGGAGTTCGACTGTCTCATTGGCAATTTTCTGTAAGAAGGTAGACTTCCCCACGCTGATGTTTCCCTCAACACAAAAGGTGATTCTCTTGTCCCTGGTTGCTTGCATGATAGGTACCTCACTCTTGTCTTTCAGTTCCCCAACAACACTGTCTTTCACGAAGGATGTTATGCTCTCTGCATGGCTCTTATGAATGATTCCAACAGAACTTTGCAAAAACTGAACCATCTTCTCAGCAGACCCACCCACAGGCTGCAGCATTTTGAGAAAAAAACTGTTAGAGCTCTCAGAGACAAGCATAACAACAGACTTTGTAAGGAATCTATCTATTCAGCCAATCACTTATTTATTCAGAAACATTCCCAAAAGGCCAAAACAAGGATATCAAAGACACCACATACTGAACCCATCATTTATACAGTTTGCTCATGTAACATTCTGGAAACACTTCCTGAATATTCCTAGCTTCCTAATTAAGTGAACCAATAGGAACTTAAACTAACTCTGTAATCAACCTCCACTATCTCAGGCAATGAAGTGGCAGAAGTAAAGTAATCCTTATGCCCAGCCCTAGTGTTTGAGATTTCAATTTGCATCCGCAACAGAGAACAGGAATCAAGATTTAATAAGAGGAGGAACACTCTGCATTATGCATTAAGGATCAGGAAGCTCTAATAACAAACCTTTAACTGGCAATGCGGCATGCTCTCTTGGGACTTCCTCACTGCAACTTTAGGAATCATAAGAAATTAAGGCGAACTGAACTTACCAAGTGCTACATTTGTCCAGATAAGAGGTAAACAAAGACAATCCCATGAATACAGATACAGATACCAATTTTGGGTTTCGGTGCAACCCCTGACTCAACTATTAGCACGGTATTGACTATTGAGCATGACGAACAGGAGATAAATGCCAGGCTCTCTTCCCTGACAGCACATGTTTTCTCATTATTAGGCCAGTCTCAATGGCAGGTTTCGTTTCACTGTTTCCAAGAATGCCACATCTGCAGCTTTGAAACTGTGCGTTGAAAAATGAAACTGTCTCTCTCAGTAACTAACAACTTCAGTACAAGATCCAGTCCGACATTGCGTCTTCTTTGCAATCCCAAGGATCTATTTCAAGTTCCTTCGCTATGCAAATCAAGAAAAAAAAAACGACAGAGGTGCATATATACCTTATCAGTGTACAGCTGCTTCAGGCGCGCGAGATCCCGGAGCCCGCCATCCACGAGCTTCCGCAGGTTCCGCGGCCCGACCCCGGGGATCCCCAGCAGCTCCACGCTCTCCCTCGCAGGAACACCGGCCTCTTTCCCGCCGCCGCCGGCCGACGCCGCCGACGAGGCGAACCGCAGGCACCCCGCCCCCGCGGCGGCGCGGGGGTGCAGGAGCGGCGGAGACGGGGCGCAGGAAGGGGAGGGAGCCGGGCCGAGGACGGGTGGCATCGCGGCGCGGTCGGAGGGGCTACGGGCGCAGGCGGCGGCGAGGCGGAAGTGGCGGAGGGGGACGGGGATGCTGAGGAGGAGGCGGCGGCGCATGGCCGGCGCCGGGAGACGGGGCCATTGGGGGGTTTAGGGTTGTGTGGGGGTTTTGGCGGGAAGGGGAAGGAAAGGGGCCGTGGAGGTCCAGGAGACAGGGGCCAGGGCTGCGAGCAGAGCAGAGTGTACGTGCAGAGCGCTACACCATACACCATGAGTTTATCTTGAATGAAGAATTATAGAAAAACATTTTAAATCAGAGAATCATTTCTTAGAGAATGAGCTACCAAACAGGCCCTAAACCTAAACTGTTAGCCTGGCCTGGAAAGCCCATGGAAATCTCAGTGGGCTTGAAGCCGGAGCAAGATTCAGCCCAACAAATCCCTCGCAATTTTCACGAGGCCCAGCCTTCGGAATGGCGGAATTCCGAAATTTGAAATTGTCGCCTCCTTGCTTTTGTGGCTTTTTCATTCCCATCCCTTCCTTCCACCCAGCGTCCAGCGTCGGCGACGCCACCGGCGACGAGCCGACGACTCATCGCAGCGGGGGAGGACGGATGGCCGCTACGGGCGGCACTCCGAGCCCCGCTAAGCGGCCCCGCCACTCTGACGTCTCCTCCTCCCGCGGTGACTCCGATTCTGACTCTGACGGGGACCTCGTCAGGTACGGCCGGCCTCTCCTCAGCGCCTCCCCTCGCTCACGGGCTCGCTCTAGAATATTCCCCCTTTAGATTTAAGCTCGTTGGATTGCGAATGTTCCTTCTTCTCCTTCGTTTCCTGGCATGGTTTGAGATGTTCCATTCCGTGGTTGCGGCGGCAGTGACCTCAGGGAGATCGTGTGCCTGCTGCGGCTTATCAAGGGCGGGGCCAACAAGGACGGGCAGAAGATCTGCGAGCAGATCGTTGCCAGGTGAGTTGCAAACGTTGAGGACTCCGAATCTCCTCGTGATTCTGCAAACAATTGGGCTAATCGCGTAAATATTTGTTAATACCAATGTTTTTCCATGATGCTGATGACTTGAGATTGCACTGACTATTGCCCGTCTGGTTACATTCGGCAGTTTTTGTTACGATTTCACATATTGGTGGTGAAATCTGCAGTCCAGGAAATTGTGCTACCTTTTAGGCTTCAATGCAGTTTTGGCAAAAGAACTTCAAAAGACTTGCGATTTTGTAATTTGTAGTGAATGGAAGGGAAATAAGACAGTATTTTGACAGTTGTGTAGTCCTTCCTGTGTATGGAGCTTTCTGTTTCTTGGATTAATTCTTGGTTGTTTTGTTGATGTTGCTGTGCACATAGCTTGTGGTCTCAATTTCTTCCTAAAGTAATATTACTCTTGCAATGCAGCAAGAGCCTGTTGGATTTCTCTGTTATGAATTTTTCTGTTAATTGTGGGGAATCAAGATACTTTTCCTTTTATGCAACACATAGTATTCTTTCCACTTTCTATTTAAAAAGGCAGCACTTCAAAATTGTAGACAACAGGAGAGTGTTTCACATGATAGTTGTAGTCTCATAAATAATTGTAAGATTGAGTTTATCTATGTGATTGGTCGAATTTTTCGCTCCTGAGTAGGCTAAATGCATGGTCTGACGATATCTGAAAGTCTTTTTCCTTCATCTGTATCACCAGAGTTTGTTGTTAATTGTTTTCTTAACCTGTAGCGTGGCAGCAGACATTCAGACTATGCTAGAAGAAACCCAGCTGAAATTCGAGGAGGAAAGGTATTCGGTATTCCACTTCCACACGATTTTTTTCCGATTAATTTACTGAGAGGATCTGAAGCCAATTATAACTTACAAAGAGCTAAACAAAAATATTCATCTTCGGTGAGAACACACTAATCTGTGTTCTATTTGTGCATGCAGACAGAATTTGCTAAAAGTACTGTCTAACACTTCCAAAGAGGTATTCATAACAACTCGTATTCCAGGGGTTTATTTGGTTCTAAAATGACACAAGATTTGTACTTCAGCAGTGTGAGAGTTCACTGAACGAAGAGTACAGCAAGTTTCAGGAAACATATGATATGTTCTGTAAAGAAAAGGATGCTCACATGCAGACTTTCAGAGGTAGGTCAAACAAGAGCAGCCACCTGTGATGGTTGCTTCTCACCAATTTCTTCACTTACACATGAAGCGCAGCTCTCTTTTTTTCTTTCTAAAACAAGCTACTAGCCAGGATACTTTATTTGTTAATTCATGATTGAATTTAGAGTACACCTTCGAATAAACCTGTGTGCTTTGTTTACTGAAGTTTGCTTTTTGTTGCTAGTTATATGAATGAACTTGAATTATGTGCCTTTAAAAAGCATGGCTTGACAAAAATATTAGCGTATCAACTGAAATCTTTGTATATGTTATGTGCAGACCTGTTCTCAAAAGTTGAAGTTGAGAAGAAGAAATTGCTTGAGAAGTACGAACATCATAGTAAGAAGGATGACTTGCCAATTTTTGTGCGATGGACTGTTGTTTACCTGACTATCATCATTCTTTCAACCAGGGAAGGCGGAAACCAACACGCTATCGGAACTTGACAAAACATTCTCAGAGAAGGTAACACATGCGGAACAATCTATCAGACGGGTGAAGCAGGTACATCTTGAACATATATTTACATCTGCTTGCTCCATTGGCACCGTATCTTCCTCTGATAATCCAAATTTCCTAAGTTCGAGATTCCAGTGCTGATTTCACATTTCAATTTCATTGCTTCATTTATGCAGGATGACAAGTCATTTATCATCTTTCGCAAGTCTATTGGCTCGTTTCTTGAGTGTGGGTCTGATGATGATTTTGACCTTGATGAGTGACGCTGCTAATGATAATTCGTATAATAGATAAACGGAAGTTCTTCAATGATAAACGAAGCTCTTCATTGATAAATGGAGGTTCTTCATTCTTTCTTGGCCTTTCCTCATTGTATTAGCCTTTTCCAGATGAGTTTGTTCGCAATCCTGAGTTTGGTATCGAGCTGGCTGGATATGTACAAATATATTGTGTTATTTTTCCACTTTGAAAGCAGAGATTCAGAAATATTATCGCTCTGGAAATTATTATTGTGCAATGACATCATTATAACTTATAAGTAACAAAATTGATATTGATGTCTGATCAGCACATTCTAAGGGCATGTTTGGTATATGAATTTTATAGGAAACAGTTCAATTTCATAGGAAAACACAGGAACATGAAACAATTCCTAAGTTCCAAAAGGGGCTTAAACATATAGCAATATTCAGTAATTTGAGCACCCAAAGTTCTCCTTTGCTAAATGCTTGGTACAGTGGTCCAAAATCCATCCATACAGCACCATCAGCTGATTGTTCAATGCCGAAAACCAGGGAGGTAGACCTACTACAAGTGGTCCAAACTACGGATATGCAGCAAACTATGTAACACCGATACTTAGATACTAATAACAGCCTAAAAAGCATTAAAACAGACTTTAATCAAATCCTAATAATCCGTCTTTTTCAGCTTGTTTTTTCAGCCGGAACAGTGTTTCGGCTTGTTTTTTCAGCAAAGCGAACGGGGCCTATATTCCTCCGAGCTCAATTCCACCCAATAGATATGTTCCGAGGTCAAAACAGGGCCATATACACCTGGCACTCTCAATAGATTTCATCGAAACAGAGGTTGTAAATGTGAGTCAGGCGATTGAGCCCGCCATTCATAATCATGCTGTCTACAGCCTCAAGCTTCCTGAAATGACAATTCAGATTGTCCTGCTGATGCTTTGCGAGCAGTGCCTCCTCTTGCAGTTCATTCTATAAGGATTCAGCGATATAAGCACAATGCCAAATGAAGCAAAGTAAAAGGCACATCACATGCAAGGAATGTGACAGGTCACATGACCCAGATAACATTGTTTTGTGCTCAAATTTTACTGCTGTAAAAACTTCTGGAGTGTGAGTTTTAGTGATAAGATTCTATTCTAAAAACTTCTTTGAGATAGAATGATAGCCATTATTCAAATTCATCAAATTTGGAAATGATGACGGTTTAGAAGCCAAGCCGCCAACCAAGAACAAGAATTTTACATTGATTAGTGCTAAGTTCTCCAACTCATGCCTCTTGGACATCAACTTAAACTTTCTGACATTATGACAATCAGGGTCTGTAGGGCCCACCCAACGGAATTCTTTCTTCCTTCCAGGTTCCGTGGATGGTCATTGAACATTTCAGCTGTGGCATGCTTCGCCCTCACAGGCCTTGGCATCCCAGACAGAATGAATGGGAACTCATGTAGTATGTTGACCACAGACTCAGCATCCTTGTCAGTTTCCATTTCTATTAATGCAGATTGGGGAATGTCAAATGGAACTGTATAGTTGGTCAGAAAACTGACATTTTTTACATTACCAAACTGGTTCAAAGCCATTGTAATGACTGCATCTGTAGCTAGGTGAGACAAGTTGTCAAGGTATACAGTTCTCTTAACCTTCTCCTCAAACTCTTTATACACTTTTGTGGCCTCCAAGAATGGAGTGCTGGTACTTTGTTCCATAGCCAGGCCAACAGAGGTAGGAAGTTTCAGTCCAGAAGTGTTCTGGCTGGTGTCAGTAGCTTGTACTGCAGAGGTACGCAGCTTTTTTGCATAATTTCTTGTCATTAGATTGATCAGCGGATTGTCTGATTGGGAAACAGTCATTTGCCTCTCCACACTTCCCTGCAGAGGTTTTCAGGTTCTTGCTTGGGTTGGTGATCTTAGCTTCTTCAGTTACTCTCTTCCTTGAGGTGTTGCTGTTTGTCTCATAGAGTAGCTTCTTGCTTAGGATATTTTCACTAGCAGCTTCACAGGGTTTAGTAATGGAGTCATTCTTTTCCACTTCACCTTGCACTCTTGTGATTGAAAGTTCCATGCTTGGGGTCTTGTCCGTGGCTCCTACACATGTTTCCTTCTTTGATGTTTTGCTGCTCTCAGGAGGCAGCCCATTGCTCATAATGTCTGTGTGTCCCTCTTCACATGACCCTTTTCTTACCGGGCAAATGCTTTCTGTGTTATCTTGCATGCCAGCAGTGGTTGTCAGATTCAGTTCTGGGACAATGAAATTAGCCTCTTCACACACTCTGGCCTTTGACATGGTTTTGCACAGGCTGTTGCTATTTGCCTGTTCACATAGTCCATCCTTTGACATGGTTTTCAAGTTTCCATCTGCTGATAATTTGATACTAGGGGGCTTGGTGCTTGCCTTTTCAATCTTCAGTTTAGTGTCAATGAATGTGGTGTTTTCGACGGTGTCATCAGTATATTCAGATTCTTCCTTAGCAGCGTGTTTTTTCGTATCCTCAGGCAATCCTGTGCTTATGGTCTGAAGGCCTTCAGCCAACCTCTTTCTCAGTGGCAATGGTAAACGAATACGGATTTTGTTGCCAGTTGGGCCAATTTTCCTGGAACTTGTGTCCCTTCTGGCTTCAGCAGCCTGGTTTTCAGAGGCAGACATTTCATTGGCACGGAATATACTCCTGCAGTTTCGAATTGAAATGGTATAGAGTTAATAATACAAATATTAATAATATTATTCAGGGCTATATGCAGAAGACAAGAAGATCCCTTTTGATTTATCAAACACACATAGTCAGACTGACACACTATATCACCTAACATAAAAATCTTAACGGCTTGCACATATAAGGCACTAAGCATCAACAAGAAATCATCTCCGAAACAAAAGAATAATCAACCAAACAAAACATAGTATTGCATGAATTTTCAAAGATACCAACCTGGTTTATTTAAAACAACCATGCTGGTAATCGGACAAGCCTGTCCTCTACTGAACAAGTAAGCTATTAACGAAAGTGTACCAATATAAGGCCTTGTTTGGATTCACTATCTGATAGTAGTTATCTAGATAATAGCTCATATCTAATATTAGCTAGCTAATTATTATCTACCTATTAGCTAAAGGGTGTTTGGATTCACTATCTGATAGTAGTTCTATTATAGATACTATTAGCTGAAGGTGTTTGGATGGAGAGCTAATAGGTGCACATGCATTTGGCGCCACTGCACGTATGCTGCTGCTGCTGCTGCTGCTTCGCCTGCTGACAAGCAGCGACTGCACGCATGCTGCTGCTGCTACATGCCCTGATGACAAGGCTGCATGCCTGCTGCTGCTGCCGACCTCCATCACAAGCACATTGCCATTCAAAAAAAAATCACAAGCACATTGGACTGCCGACATGAAGCATGAACAAAAATACATGTTTAAAATTCATACATAAGCTGGCTCAACATTCATACAAAAATACATGTTTCAGGGAGCATAGTTGGCTCAAGATCTCACAGTCAACCTCTCATAGCAAACAAAGCCGTAGCAAGGTTATCACAGAAAGCATTCATGTCCCCTTCTTCGTCGCATAGATAATTATTAGCTTCGCTTCTTTGAGATGAAGATGGCACTGGCATTGGAACATAATTTTCATCACGGTCACACATATCAAAATCTGCATCGGCCATAGCACTTTCGCGAATAAAATTATGTAAAGCCATGCATGCGAGGATAATTTTGGTTTGCTTCACCATTGAATATGATGGTAAGCTCAACAAGATCCTCCACTTCATTTTTAACACACCAAATGAACGCTGAATGACATTACAAAGAGATGAATGTAAGTAATTGAATACCTCTCTTTTTCCACCTGGCCTTGGGCCTCGTCTAAACTCTGGTAAATGGTACTTCGTACCCTTGTACGGTGCAAGATAACCGGCTCGATTAGGGTATCCCGAATCAACAAGATAAAATTTCCCTGGACACATACAACATTTCATGTTATTGAGCTGAAAAGAAGATGATCCAAGACCTGAAAGCAGACAAGTATAGGTAGTATTGACAAAAGGGTAACAGACTACGAAATCTGATAATCAAACTGATAAGACACATACAGTACTGTCATAGCCATATTTGATAACAAACTGATAGGACACGCAGCTAGCTAGCATTCAGTATTCAGCATTTCAATAACCAGCATCAATAATCAGCTCTGGGTTCAATAAACAGCTACTTCAATAATCAGCTAGCTTAGCTAGCATTTCAATAAATCTACTTCAATAATCAGCTAGCCAGCTAGCTAGTATCGAAAATCTACTTCAGTACAGGAAAAATTCAGCAAAGACAACTCTATTGAAGATGGATGGAGTTGGACACCTTGGTTTGTGTCCTGGTTAGCTGCTGAAATGCTAAATGCTAGCTAGCTGACATTCACAAAAATTCAGAAACTTAACATATAACATTCAGGTAATAGACAACTGAAAATTCAGAGACTTAACATATAATATTCAGATATAAGTAAATCTCTGCACTGCACATTTCCTACTAAGAAAATTCAGAGACTTAGCACAATTCGGGAACTAAGAAACAACACACCTCAGGCAGCTTCACACAATATCACAGAACTCCTAGTGGTTCAGCAGGCAGCTTGACAAACCTACAACTACTGCTATGAAGGATAGCTGCCTGCACTGGCCTCCTGCTGCTCATATCCAAATTTCAGACTAAGGTTCTAACATGTTCAGACTAAGGTTCCTGCTGCTCAAGTAGATCAATTATGGAACATTATCACTGTAAAATAATAGGCTGTTTGGAACATTATGGAACTAGCTATGTATTCTCAGGAAGCAAATCTCTGCACTGCACATTATCACTGCAAAATAACAGTATGGAATGATATCTCAAGTAGATCAATTATGGAACATCGATCAGGGTGGTACGACACAAACGGAAATAATAATTGCTAGAAAAAAGTATCCACACAAAATTCCCAGGATAGAACGACCTAATTTTGAATTCCATTGCACTTTGCTGATCATTTTGACAGAGTGAGGTCGTGAACTCAGACTGAGGCTAAATTCACACAAATAACAGTATGTATGATAGATATCAGCAGTCAGCACTACTACTTGAGGAACAGAACGCTGCTCATTCTGCAGTTTACCCAAACTATACCAATAATGAATCCGAGTGAGATATGAATCATTTGAATGCTAAATAAATAAATTAATTGAAGTTGAAGTGAAATGACAATGCATCTGGGCACATCTGGGGCATCTCCTGATCGAGCGAGTGATGAGCTAGAAAGTTTTATAAAGCAGAAAAAAATTGCCAAACGAGTGAAGCACCCACCCGATCGGAGCTTCTCGGCTTGCGGGAAAGGAGGATCCGCTCGGAGCTTCTCGGCTTGCGGGAAAGGAGGATCCGCTCGGAGCTTCTCGGCTTGCAGGAAAGGGATCCGCTCGGAGCTTCTCGGTTTGCAGGAAAGGAGGATCCGCCCGGAGCTTCTCGGCTTGCAGGAAAGGAGGATCCGCTCAGAGCTTCTCGGCTTGCAGGAATGGAGGATCCGCTCGGAGCAGGACGCGATGTGGCCCCCCGTGCTGGTAGGCCGACGTCGCAGGCGGAGGAGGCCCTGGCGACGGAGGCAGAGGAGGGAGGCGGAGGAGACCCAGGCGAGGCGCGGTGGCCGGTGGTGGGGCGAGGGAAGCGAGGCGGGGTGGAGGGGCGGAGCCGCGCAGGCGGAGGGGCGTGGCGCGGCAGGCGAACACCCGGCGGCGCTGGCGAGCGCCCCCCGCGCGGGCGTGCGACGGTGCGAGTGCGAGACGGTGTGCGAGACAGTCACGCAAGGATAATTGGGTTAGCTTTCAAAAAAAAAAAAGGATAATTGGGTTATCTGACCGGCAAATTTGTCCGTACATTGCAATCGAAATCAGACTCTGTATTGTCGTTACATGCAAGTTATTTGAGGGCCCGTTTGGTTCTCTTGTCCCTGTACAAGAGAAAGTAAAATTAAACTGTAGTAAGTTACTCTATTTGGTTTTAGCAGGTCTAGACAAAATACTCGCGACTCATCAACTCGCTCAATTTGTGTCCGGCTCGGCTCGGCTCGTTTTAACTTTTTGACTAGCTAAGCTAGAAGTCTATCTCGCTGTTTTAACGAGCCAACTCGCGAGCTGCCCACGAGCTCAAACGAGCTGAGGCCTATCAGCCTACGACCATAAATCCACAAGATGATGATGCTGACCTAAAAGTGTACACCTATTCTATTAATATGTAATCCTTATTTTCAGCTGTTTCATATGAATTTTGATTTTATAATTGTTGTGGTACTTAAATGTTGATTTATGGATTGTTTTCCGGGGAGAAGATGATGATGCTGACATTGATTTGTGGACTTTTCTAAGTTCGTGGTGGTAAGCAACTAGTAAGTATGCTGGAACTGCATTGATTATAAATGGACCAGTTATGTTGTATGGTTGATACTTTTGATAAACCTGATATATATTAATTATGTATGGTTGCATAATAGTGGACGTCACCTTCTAAAATTATCGTGGCATGAATATTATAAACATGTGTGTCCTATTTTTTTAATAACTCGCGAGCTAAACGAGCCAAGCTGAGCTGCCCCTCTAGCTCTTAATATTAACGAGCCGAGCCGAGTTGGCTCGTTAGCCTAACAAGCCAGCTCGAGCTGGACCGAGCCGAGCTGAATCGATATCCAACCCTAGATTTTAGGGACTAAAAGTGACTAAAGACCATTAAAACAGATGAATAAAGACAAAAATACACCTACTTCTCTTGCCTAGCCGCGCGAGGAAAGGGGCACGCCGCGAGCTGGGGCACGGCCGCCGGGGAGTCCATGTCGCCAAGGAGCCTAGGTTGCCGAGGCGCGCACGTCGTCGGCCCAATGCGAGTGGGCCGTCGGGGACGCCAGGTTGGGGCACAGCCAGTGAGGATGCTGGGCTAGGGTGCGGTCACCAGAGCGCAGGACGTTGGGCTGGGGCACGACCCCAAGGGAGAACTCGAATGATCCACGTTTTTCTTCCAGAATCCAATAATGAGAACGAGTTTACAATATTTAGTCTATTTTATACAACTAGAGTTCTTAGAAATATATTATTACAGTACCAAGTTTAGAGTGCGGAATTGAAACAGCGGAATTACAATAAACATCTAACGTAGAATACAAGGATCCGTCTGTGCTCACTAGAAGAATCCTCCACACAACAGCTACGCTTCAAGCTGCACCTGCAACAGGGTAAATAAACCCTGAGTACACAATGTACTCGTAAGACTTAGCCGACTAGTGGGAATAATTTTCCGACTGCAAAAGATATAATAAGCTTTATGGTTTGTTGGATTTCCTTTTTGCGGAAAGCAATACTGGTAGTAAATCCTTATATATGTTTCTTACTAGCAGTCATGATTAGTTCGTTATCTAACCATTCTATGTAAGCACGTGTTCTACTTTCAAGCAAGAGTTGAGCAAATAGATCCATTTCACCATCTTTCATCTTCCAGTTCTTACTACGGTGATAGATTGTAGACAAGTCGTACCGGATTACCCGGCGATTCACGAATCAATGTGCCCAGGATAATAAGTCTGTGACCTGACTAGAATCCAATGCAACGGCCGGTCCTTAACCAACACGGACAGATAAAACAGT